ACAGTAATTGGGACATGGGTCTTGGAGGAGGAGGAGGTGGGGGAGGGGGACGAGGAGGAGGAGGAGGAGGAGGAGGAGGAGGAGGAGGAGGTGGGGGAGGGAGGGAGGGAGGGAAGATATTAAGAGTTGCAAATAAGGAAATGAGAAAATCAGTCTGTCAGTGATAGGGTTCATGTGGTTTAGCCAACCCGGTATCACGGCAAGACGTCAACATATGACGATCTACCAGCGACGTGCAGTCAGGGGAGGCAGAGCCTCACCTGTCATACTCCAATGTAACGGAAAAACAACTAACGAAAAACTAAATAGTAATAATAATAAAATGTCTCCACTGATCTGTGTTGTAAGTGTGATTTATGTACGATTTCAATCGCTTTTTATAGTCAAAATCAGCAAATTTGCCAAGCTCCGCTACGGGAGCGATGAGAAGTGAGGCAGGGACGAGCTCTGCCTCTCGTAAGCCCACAGTAACTTGCTGGAGCACGGGCACTAATTTAGCGCGGGCAAATATTTTGTGAGCGCGCTCAAGCCAGTTACTGTGGGGTAAGGTGAGGCACAGATGAGCCCTGCCTCACTTCAGAATGCGTCACCCCACAGAAACTGGCTGGAAAGCGGGCCCTAAGCGCATGCCTGTTACCATCTTACTGTATGTCACCAATGTAATGTTTGTAGATCCCTTTATTACATTTATCCTCGCCATCCATAGTCTCTAAATAACTTATTTCACGTATATATGATATTTAGGCCCGCTGGTCTCATCGTACAACGGCACTGAAAAAAGCACCAGGGGAGGCAGCCATAACCTCTGCCTCACTGAAGGGGGCGCACGTGAGCCCACAGGTTCTTGTTGCTATTGTTATTCTACACAGAGACGGTACACGCAAACAACAAACTAGACTTTTGAAACTACAGGAAGATAAGGAGGACTTTTACAAAAAAGTAATAGAGATTGTTGTCCAGAAGGATAGCATGGACTTCATCTTCAAGTCAAGGTAAGACCACATTTGTAATGAAAATGGGATCTTACTAAGAAAGAACAATCCAATATTTAGATTTTGGGTATCCTTTTGTTGAACGGTCTGTTTAAAATGAATCGAAGCATCAGACTAAAAAAGCTTTTGAAAATAACCGAATATTTCGATTAAGGTCAAAATATAATATTTGTAAATCTGACTCTGAAAGAGTCAGTGCCTCACCAGCCATGAACCTCACCGCACGTCACTGCGATTTACCATGCTGGGAGACGGGAATATGTCACGGTTTCGTCCCTTCAAACGTGACAGTTACACGGTATTGTTAACATGGCCCAACCAGTGGAGAAATACCCGGAAGTGCCAAGCAAATGGTCTACCGCGCTTATTGGTCGGTTTTTATTGTCAAAATGAGATGTTTTTAATTTATTTTTTAATCGTCACACTCGATTTCGCCGATTTTCTTGTTGCCCTAGCTGGTCGACACCTCTTTTAGCAGAAACAAAGGCTACATTAATGTATTAAATCGATGTTAATCCATGTGTGTGGATCATAGACTGGTGTGGATGTGGAATTAACGGACGTGACGTTGTGCGATTGCGTTGCCAGGCAACTCTTCAACTACAACTAAATACTTTATTAAGGGCAGTGAATTAGTTTTTTAGAAGGCCTCACGAAATACTTTAATGTAAATTAAAATGTAAATGTGAAGGGATGTGTGTAATGTGATGATTGACATTATTCACCCACGGATCTATGGGTTGGGGGTATTGTTCCGCATGGACATTTTAGTTAACCGGACTTACTGTTGATGTGAAATCCGAAAGAAAATTTAAAAATAAAATAATACTTTATTCCGAGTTTGCTTGCTTTTCTCTTTGGAGGTCATCACATAACGGCATTGTAATACACGGTTCGGCTGCATTAAATATTACATATCTGCCGTAGTTCTGTATTTATAGAGACCTGATGAGAAGACTTCTGGACAAACAGGAAGCACTGCCGCCAAAACTGAAAACGTGACGTGGATCATAAATATATCAGCAATTAAACAACATCTTACATTTATTTTTACACAATACGTCTCCTTGCAGTATCAATACTAATTCGGCTGACTTTTATATTTGATCCAATTGGTAGATAGGCTGTATTTACACCATAATGGTGCACAGCTGATAGAAAGGTACATCTAGTGGTTGAAGCACGTTATTGAATTTTATTATTTTATTATTTTTCACAAAAATGAAACCATCAATAGCAGAAACAGAATTAACTGTCATTAGTAAACCACCCAAAAAAAAGATCATAAGGGGTTTTGTTTTATATATATTTTAAGGATAATAATAGCAATGTAACACTGTCTATGACACTTAGCCTACTGTATAACTCTGATTTGAAAAACATACAGAAAAAACGAATTCACTGCCCTTAATAAAGTATTTAGTTGTAGTTGAAGAGTTTGTAAATTGCGTTGCCTGGCAACGCAATCGCACAACGTCACGTCCGTTAATTCCACATCCACACCAGTCTATGATCCACACACATGGATTAACATCGATTTAATACATTAATGTAGCCTTTGTTTCTGCTAAAAGAGGTGTCGACCAGCTAGGGCAACAAGAAAATCGGCGAAATCGAGTGTGACGATTAAAAAATAAATTAAAAACATCTCATTTTGACAATAAAAACCGACCAATAGGCGCTGGCACTGGTTGGGCCATGTTAACAATACCGTGTAACTGTCACGTTTGAAGGGACGAAACCGTGACATATTCACGTCTCCCAGCATGGTAGATCGTCACATGTTCACGTCTTGCCGTGATACCGGGTTGGGTTTAGCTTGACTCACTCACTCCCAGACATGACGGTTCAACTGAGCTTTCTTCTCATCTTCACTGGACTTACAGGTCATGCAGGCACAAGACTCAAGACTTAAAAACATCTTTTATGTGTATGCTGGAGTGAATCTCTAATATTTTGAAGGCTTTAATTAAGTAATTTGTTTAAACGTGAGCTAATATGAACATCAACATTATGTAGGCCATCTAAAGGAAGAGTATTGATATTTTTTTATTTATCTTTTTATAATGTTGAGTTTGCTCTTGTTGCAGGAATTCACAGCATAACTACAGTCAGTGAAGTGTCAGTGAGAGCTGGAGGTTCGATCACTGTCCCATGTCTCTATGAGTCAGAGTACATAAACCATTTGAAATACTTGTGTAAAGGATATTGGGCCTCCTGCTCTTATGAAGTTAAAACAAACCAACCAAGCAGTTCAGGAAAGTTTTCGATCTCTGATGACAAAACACAAAGAGTCTTCACTGTGACTATAAATGATCTGACTGGAGAGGACACTGATTATTACTGGTGTGCTGCGGAGATTAAAGATGGAGCAGATCTCAAAGAGTATTTCCACTTGTCAGTCACTGGAGGTAAGAGCCCAATTACACCTTTTCAAATATTTTGTGAAATATCAACACTTTAATATTAAAATTACCTCATTTTCTCAAATAATGTATTCACCAGAGGTAAACATATGCCAAACATATTTCAAACATCAGCAGCATGTACTAATCACACTGCTAAGAGAGTTTCTAAGAGTTTCAATGAATGATGTTCTCCATCAAGGTACACCCAGTCTCTACGTGGATCAGCAAGAGATGACAGGATTTAAAGGAGATAGCATAAACATCAAGTGTCACTATCGAAACTCTGGAGAAATGAAGTGGTGCAGGCTCTGTGGCTCCTGTGTGACACGGTCTGGATCAATAGATGGAACAAGAGTCGACATCAGTGCACGCAACCCTGGTGTTCTCACTGTGACTCTGAGCGGACTGAGGACAGAGAGCAGCGGCTGGTATCGGTGCGTTAAAGGAAACGTACAGATGCCGGTGCTTATAACTGCTACTGAGAAACCCACCACTAGTAAGTGTTATAAGTCATTTTGAAATTATAGAAATTTGTCAGGTAAATTGAGAATTTTCTATTCAATCTAGATTAAATATATTTTTTATTTCAAAAAATAATTACCGTATATTTACAGTTTCAGCCACAAGCCAAATAACCACTTTGATAGCCACCTCCAAACCTGTGAATCACACCTATAGTACTGCAGAACAAAGACTTTCCACTGTTGAGGTTGAGCAGCAAAGGTGAGAAGCCTATACATTTGTATGCAACTACATTTTTGGACTGTTAGCAAACTGTCATTTGCATTGTGTTTTATTTTATTTTATTATTTCTGCTGCAGTGTTTCCGTAAACTTGATGGTCTTTATCATCCCGCTGAGCTCGCTGATCTTCATTGTAACGGTTGCCTCGTTCATCTGCTTAATGTTCAAAAGACACAGTAAGTCTATGCCGAAATTATAATTGTTTGTAAAACATCAATATATTAACGATCATCATGCAGACTATTTGTGTGTTATTGTCAGTAAAAATAGTCTATAATTGATTCACTTTTAGAGCAGACCACAGGAGATTCACCAGCCACAATAATGGTGAGATATGATCATTCATTTCCCAATACATTTTGTTATGTTATCATAGCCATTTTTCTAATAAACACTGCAGTAATTCCAAATAATATAAAACTTTACTTTACTTTGAATTTGCAGCTGCAGGAGTTCAATATATCTCTGGGAAAAAGCATTAATACTTATCACATATATCTTGATAATTACTAAGAGTTATTTTCTTAACAAGCCAATAGGTCAGAAACACAGAAATAGGTTAAAGGGGACAGGCCTGTAGGTGGTGCTGTTCTCACAGAAACAGCCCTTGCAAAAACAGAGCTAAACATTTTCAAATTGAGCGAAATGAGGCATGGCTAAAATGCATGATCTGTTTGGTATTTTGAAAAAAAAAAAGTATAAATATGCATTATATAGGTATGGTCCTACACTATATTATTCAAATATAGCATGATAGGTCCACTTTAAATAAATAAACCAATTAAAGATTTTGGTTCATATTCACCGTTCATGTTCTGTTCTCTGCTCCTTCAGGGTAAAGAGGAAGCAACATATTGTTAAGCAAAGGAGAAAGACTTCAGGCCAGGTAAGACACTGTGTGAAAATGACTGCTGCTAAATATTTTTATTTTTATTTAAAAACAAGACCATCCAAAAAATGAACACAGTATATGTGTTTTCATTATACAATTAGGTTTTATTAAACTCTTATGGTGATTCCACTGATCCTCTGTTTGCCCTAAAAAGGGAGAATAGTTATGAAATGTTTCCTGATTTAAAAAAAATGTGTTCATGTTGATGGTTTGCAGCTTCATCGCGCTGAAGAGGAAGTAACATACAGCGATGTTAAACAAAGACAACCTACAGACAAGGTGACCCTTGACCCCAAAAGGCCCAACTTGTATTCCATCATAAATATAAAAAGTTAAATGTTTCAAGTGATCTCATCATGGCAGCCTCTTCTTCCTTCCACAGTGGTCGGATGCTAATAGAGATGTGGATGTGATGTACTCTGATGTGATGTACTCTGATGTGGTTACAGAGCATCAAACTGGACAAAAGGTACATTTTAAGGGATTCAAACCCAGACCTTAACGTTTTCTAACATTCTTTCCCTACATTTCACCATGAAAGCTAATAGCCCTCAGCCTCAGTTGTCTCTGTGATAGTGCTATTTGGCAACTTTTTAGCATGTTAGCAGGCAAAACTAAAATGATTAACATGGTAAACATTCCTGATAAACATTTGTAATTTAGCTTTCTCATTGTGCACATTCTTAGCATTTGGCTCAGAGCTCCATGTAAAACCTGACAGAGCTGTTAGTAAGGTATGAGTTGATCGTAGCTTTGATGTTTCCTCCCTCATGCTATTTTTTTCTTCACTTGTGCAACAGATTCAAGCGGAAGAAGATGATGTAACATACAGCAGGTTGGCTTGACAGAAAAACCTGTGAATGTAACCCCTACCCTCCATCTATACCCATCACTGGAGTCTTTTTTTAGACAATTTGCAACTTGCTGTCATTTGTTTTTTCTTTCCTTTTGAAGGTATTCTTCATTTCAAACAAGTACTGACATGGGCGTAGTTTCCCACAAGCATCTATAAGTCAACAAGCTAACAAAACACATCTTACAGTATGAACCTTCTTAAGCTCAATAGGGGTTTCCCAAATGCATTGACAAAAGAACTCTTAAAAATGACCAAAAGTCAGAAGCTGCAGGAGGAACCAAAACATTTTATATCTAAATATATACTTTTATCGTGATGTTTGTTGTCTAATGTTTGATGTATAATTGATAATTATATGTAAATGACAAAGAAGTAATAAAAACTGTTCAAACACAATAAATCACTAATGGATCGGCCTGTTTCTGTTGTCATCCCCATTGTCTTCGTATCTCTTCTGGATGAAACATCACTTTTCTAATCACATTGTTGCAGTACTCGTGTCATCTCTCCACTTTTTTAAACATGGTGCGTGCTTTACACACACTTAAAAAAAGTTTGCATTAATTTCTAATGCATTGTTTTAAGAAATGAACATGTTTCAGTCCTTAATTCTGAAGTGCTGGTCTTCTGTTAAAAACATGTGTATCCACCGGACCTTACCCTATATTCTACAGTAAAGTATATTGTGGCTCAGCACCGACAAAACATTGAAATGATGTCTGTCTGTTAATCTCGTTATCTCTCTGTTAGCAGACAGCTTTTTTTGGTCGTGCTGTAACTTCTTTCTTCTCCTTTTTCATCTGTAGTCATCTCACCTTTTTTTGAACCCTCCCCTGCATACAAAAACAACAACATTGATAACTTTTATGTTTTTCAACTGTATTGCTTACATGTTATTCTCCCTACCTGTTAAGCCCCGAGCCTGTTTTTCAGGTTTCAGGCTCGAAAATGACATGCCCAAAACAAATGACTACAACTTCACTTCTAAAAGGGTTATATGAATAATTTCTTTTATCAAAGCAAGGTTACATCTGTGAGTTGGGTGTAGAAGTGTCAGAATCAATATAGATTTTTCTCAGTCAGAGTAAATTCAGATGGAACATAGTAAAAAAAGGTAAATTCTTACCTCCGCCTACAAAAAACCCATTACTTATAGTGAAAACCACCCTTGGATGATGGGTTAGTAGACTAAAAGCTTTAGCAATCCAAACTATAACATATAATAAGTACCCTGTATCAAGATTGAGGCAAAACAAGTTAAATTTTACCTTTTTAGAGAGATTTAGCAAAAAGAAGTTCCAGGCGGAATAGGCTTTCGGCACATTTGGGTACATCTGGTTCCATCAGTGCCATTTGACCTTTTTCAGGTACCAGACTATAAAAATGATGTATTAATTATCACCATAGGTATTCATTCCATTCAAAGAAAAAAAATTTAAATTAAAAAAATTAATAAAAAATTTAAAAAAAAACGTTTTATATATTTGTGAAAAAAAAAAAGACCCGCCGACGGGGGCTTTGGGGCTTACTTCCATCTTTAAGATTATTAGAAACTCATATTTAACCTTAATTAGTTTGATATGCTAACACTTTTTATACTTTAAAATGTCATATATGACATGTTCTGGAATGACTATAATTGACTTTACTGTACAGTACAATCACTTTTATTTAGCTTTTCGAGCAACAAAATTGTATATTGTAACTGGAAACAGCCAAATGTATCGTCTCATCTGTGGTTCCTCAAACAGGGTTTGTGTTACTCCGTCAGACATCCTCTTTGTTAAACCATAAGGCTATACAACCACAGATATGCAAAGAATAAACAGGGTGATTGTATGAAGTTGTTTAAGGGCACGGCTAGCTTGGTGTCACACATATATAACTTGAAAAAGACTTGGACTTTATCTGTTTTTGAGGCTTACTGCCCATAAAAAGTACCCATAATACCTAGTGTTTCTCTCCGTATCTTTGGAAATTACTATTATCTATGTCTGATTTCAATTGTTAAAATGACAGATACTTGATATTTCCGTTACTCAACCCACTTGGGTTAAACAAATGTTTTTAATGTTTTTAATCATTTCATGTTATTACTGTCATGCTTTAAATAAATTAACACAATTCTGTCCATAAACCTGAAGTGCTGGTTTCTTCTTTTGAAATGTTGTGTTCATGTTTTCAACATCGAAGCTATTATGTAAGAGTAGGGTACTCCCCAACTGCACTAATAATTATATATATATATATTACACAATTAACCGATGAAACGCAACTTCCTTACTGTAGGAGGGACCCATATTTGAACTTGTGCATTTTATATTTAGGAAAAAAGGAAGTAGAGCATCAGTTCGTACATGTTGTTTGGTCCGCTCACACTCTGACATGGCTGTTCATCTCGGCTTCCTTCTCATTTTGATCGGACTCACAGGTCAATGACAGAAAACGTTTTATATTTGTGAATAATTTATTGAATGCTTCACATGGTAATGTCAGAAGGTAATACTAATTATTATTGAATATGGCTTTTAAAATGTTGTATTTGCTTTTGTTGCAGGAATTCACAGCATAACTACAGTCAGTAAAGTGTCAGTGAGAGCTGGAGGTTTGATCACTATCCCGTGTCTGTATGACTCAAAGTACAGCAACAATGTGAAATACTTGTGTGAAGGATCTTATTGGGACTTCTGTTCTTATAAAGTTAAAACAAACAAACCAAGCAGTTCAGGAAAGTTTTCGATCTCTGATGACAAAACACAAAGAGTCTTCACTGTGACTATAAATGATCTGACTGAAGCGGACACTGATTATTACTGGTGTGCTGTGGAGATTGATGGAGGATCAGATTTGGGAACACCTTTCAACCTGTCAGTCACAGGAGGTAAGAGTCTATTTATTAACTTTTCAAATCTTTTGTAACATTTCAACACTTCGATTTTACAATAACTTCATCGTTCTTCTTTTCAAATAATGCTTTTACGAGATGTAATTTTATTAAATACATATTTAAACATCAGGAGCATGCACCAACTAGGCTGCTTACAAGTTTCCATTGAATTATGTTTCCGACTAAGGCACACCATATCTATATGTGGATGAACAGAAGAGGACAGGATTCAGAGGAGGAGAAATAACCATCGATTATCACTATCATAACGTTGGAGAAATGAAGTGGTGCAGGCTGGGCAGCTCCTGTGTGACATGGCCGAATGGATCATTAGATAACTCAAGAGTCACCATCAATGCGAATGATTCCCAGGTTCTCACTGTGACTATGAGCGGACTGAGGACAGAGAGCAGCGGCTGGTATTGGTGCGTTAAAGGAGACTTACAGATGCCAGTGCACATAACTGTTACTGAGAAACAGCAGCAAAGGTGAGAGACCTTCTCGTTATCATGCACATTTTGACTGTTTATACAAATCTGTCATTTGCATTGTGTGTTTTTATTTATTTATTCCTGCTGCAGTGTTTCAAGGAACTTAAAGATCTTCATCATCCGTTTGAGTTTGCTGATCATATTTGCGATGGTGAACTTGTCATCTGGTTTATGTCCAAACGACAAGGTAAATATATCGTGATCTCTTCCTTGAACCATTTATGTATTTTCTGAAATACAGGTGTGTAACTAACCAACCCTGTCTCCTAGAAATTACGTTCCCACAAAACTAAACTGCATTCTCAAATACGTTTCGCAAGAAACGTATTTCCTTCCACGTTACGTTTGTTATGAACATATCTTAAATACGTTTATTTTCTACATATCTTCTAGAAACCTATTTTCTCCCACATGACGTTTGTTATGAACGTATCTCAAATACGTTTGCTTTCTACCTATATTTGCCATTTATTTTCTAGCTTATAATAATGATAATAGTAATTTATTAATATCATTTTAGAGCAAACTTATTTTCGCGCTGACTGGCGGCTGACTTTTCAGTTGACCAAATCCGTTATTATGCTGGTTAATGGTTAATAATCACAATATTGTTTGTAGTCGTTTCATACAGCATTCTCAATTACGTTTAACAAGAAACGTATTTTGTCCCACGTTACGTTTGTTCTATCTTAAATACGTTTGCTTTCTACCTATCTTTGACATTTATTTTCTAGCTTATAATAATGATAATAGTAATTTATTAATATCATTTTAGAGCACACATTTGAAATCGACGATCGGGCTTGATATCCTATGGTTAAATTAAAATCAGTAGGCGAGGCTGTAATTTCGCCAGCTGCGAGGCAGAAAATAATAGTTTTAACATGCCAAAAAGCTGCTGTGTCGTTTATTGCACCTCAAACATTAAAACAAATCCAGAGTTACGTGTTTCTGTACTTCCTCTAAGAAGAAAGGACAGTATACAACAGAAGAGCTCTGTGGCTTCAGGCTTGATCGCCGTTCAAATGACAGCTGGTTTCCCCAAAAGTGAGCAGGGCTGTAAAGTGACGTAGGAAAAGATCATCAGCTCGCTGATTGGATGTTTTAGCCGCAATGCACGTCGGGATATGGTGTTAATGCGATATGAAATCCGAAAAAAGAATCAGAGTTTAGGATG